CAGGAATCTTCTAACTAAACTGCTTTATTGCTGAAAGCCAGTGAGCAGGAATCTTCTAACTAAGCTGCTTTATTGCTGAAAGCCAACATACAGGAATCTTCTAACTAAACTGCTTTATTGCTGAAAGCCTCTGCACAGGAAGGGGCAGGTGGGGAAGAAAAGATCTCAGGCAGATCTCTCCAAAGATTGACTGCAAAACATCTGGCTGAAAATGAGAGCACCGGCCAAAGCCTTACCGGATAATGCCATCCAGGCAGTTGATCTGCTGGTAGGAGTAGTTGGAAGGCTCCTTCCGCACCGAGTCCTCGGAGGGGGCTGCCTTGCCCGACCACGTCTCCATGCCCCTCCTCAAGGTCTCCCTCGATTGCCCTGGGCGACTGACGGGTGGATCCAGAGCTAGGAAGGGAAAAGGCAGAGAGGAAGAACGACCATGAGCAGGGAAGGGAAGAGGCTTTTGCAAAAAAAAACAAAAAACGGCCAGGATGAAGGCACCGCAGTGGCTCATGGGTTTGTGTGTACAATGGGAGGAGGAGGGAGGGGAGGAAAAAGGAGGAGGAGGGATGGTGAAGCAGGAGGAGAAAGGAAAAACAATGGTGAGGAGGAGGAAGGGAAGGAGAAGAAGGGATGGAGAAAGGGGAAAGAGAAGGAGGGATGGAGGAGGAGGAAGGGGAAGGAGAAAAGGGAAAAGGGCAAGAAGGAGGCATGGAGGAGGAAGAGGAGGAGGATTAGTGGCTCCCTCTTACCTGGCCGAGAAGGCTTGATGGACAGAGGTTTGACCCGGGAATCGATGAAGACCTGCTGGCCCTGGTTCTTCACCATGTTGACATCCTTGCAGATTTCCTGGAAGGTCACCTGGGATCCAGAGAGAGGCGGAGTCAGAAGAGCCCCCCCCTCCATTGGGAGAGGCTACACCCCAAAACCACTTTTCATATTTCGCAGAAGACTTTCCTCGACTCTCCCCAGGATGGGCCCTTCCGGGAGTCCCCCCCCCCCCCCGAGGGAGGGGGCTGGGACTCAAGAGGAGCCGTCTTTAGGGGCTCCTTGGGCCAGGCCTCCCGCCACCCGGATAGAGGACCCCGCCCTGCCCTCCCCACGCTTACCGGCCGGAGGGCCTGGGCCTCCTCTGAGGGGAAGCCGTTGCTGTTGCTGGAAGAGGCGATGCTCGGGAACTGTTCGTGGGAGGCCGAGTTGCTGCAAAGGCCCGGGGCTCCACTGCTGTGCACCGGCTGCCCGGGGAGAGGAGGAGCAGCGTTAGAGCTGGGTGGAGGGAGGAAAGTGGGGGAAAGGAGGAAGGAAGAAAAGAGGCAAGGGTGGAAAAGGAAGGAAGGAAGGAAGGCAAGAAAGGAGGGAAGAAAGGAAGGGGGAGGAAGAAAGGTGGAAGAAAAAGGGAGGAGGAAGGGTGGCAGAGGAAGGAAGGAAAAGGAGAGAGGGAGTGAAGAAAGAAATAAAGGGAACAGAAGAGGAAGGAAGAAGGGAAGGAAGGAAGGAAGGAAGGAAGGAAGGGCTTACCTGCAGCAACAGCCGGTGAATCTGCTCGGACAGCTCCTGAATTTCCACCTCCAGGGCCTTGGACTTCAAGACTTTGGGGGCGGTGAAGACATCCTCGTTGAGGGGACCCCTGAGGTCAACCAGAGAGAGGAGATGAGAAGGAGCCCATCTCACACACACGCACGCACACACCCTTCCTGAAGCCCCACCCAATTCCGCTTCCTGTTCGGACACTAGGCACATTTCCAGCCACTCTTCTCTTCTCCTTCCTCTCTCTCATCCCCCCTTTCCCCCTCCCTCCCTTGGTCCTTGGCTCCCCAGCCAGCCTACTTGAAGGCGGCTGGACTTCAACTCCCAGGATTCCCCCGGCCAGCATTGCAACTCTGCCTAGGGAATCCTGGGAATTGAAGTCCCCCTCGGTCTTCAAACCCGCCCAAGGTTGAGAAAGGCGGGCTCCGGCAGCCATTTTGGCCATCCAAATGACCTTCTCTGGCCCCATCTTGGAAGTCAACTAACCTCCCCTCCCCGCCCCGCATGATAGGCTCCGCCCCCTCACCCCCCTCCCCAGCCAAGCTCCTCCCACTCTCCCAGAGGCAGAGCCATGCCCTCCCTCTCCTGCCGATCGGATCTCTAATCTCCCCAATGAAGATCACCCAGCCACACACCAGTGCGAATTCCCCCTCCCCCCAGAGTGTGTTTCACACTTACGTCCGCACTTTGTGCCTGCCCATGATAAACGAGACTTTGCGACTCCAGGGGTTGACGAAGCTGGACCAGCTGGTGTCAATGGTGACATATTCCCCGTTGCGGGCACAGAAACGGATGGGCAAGTGGTCGAACGGCTGGCCGGCGTATTGCAGGACTGGAAAAGGGGAGGAGAGAGGAGGAAGAAGTGGGGGGGGGGGTCAGGTCAGCGACCACTTAGGCCAAACATCCTTGGTACGGATGGTCCTCGAATTACAACCCTTAATTGTATCCGAAATTTCCACTGCTGAACAAGGCGATCATTAAGTGAATCGCGCCTGATCTTCCAACCTTTTTCTTTTGGGGGGGGGGGGGCTGGTCATTAAACAGATCACTGCGTCTGGTAAGTGAACCAAGTGGTCATTAAGTGAATCCAGCTATCCTTATAATGTTGCAGGATGGGAAGGTTAGAAATGGCCATCCAAGGTGGCTACCGTTGTAACCTACCACGAGCCGTAATAGCTGTGGAGATGGCGCAATGGCTGCAACGGCGAGGACTGGCCGTAAAACACATCCCCCCCCCCCCCGTATACTTACTTTTCTTGTGTATGGCCAGCATAAGAGGCCGGTCCTCAGGGTGCAAGTAGAAAAGGACAGGGGTCCCAACCAGATCCTGGGGGAGGTAGCCAAGCAGGGGGGCAGCTCTGAGGAGGAGACAAGAGGCCACTGTCAAGAGGGCTGGTCGGTATGCGAGTGATTGGCCCAAAGTTCACCCAGCTGGCTTTCCTGCCTAAGGCGAGA